TCCAAAATCAGTGCTTCTTGCGCAAATGCTTTGACGTTCCCATTCGGGCAAAAGCCCTTTTCCGGAAATGGTTTTGCACAAGAGGGCCAGTGTAAACAGCTAAAAACTGTTTTGCGCAAAAAAGCCCCATTGGCGAAAATGGTGATCGGGGCTTTCTTGTGCAAAACCGTGTCTAGATTGGCACGGATGCTTTTCCACAAAAAGGGCTTTTGCAGAAAAGCGTCCGTGACAATCTAGACGCTCTTTCCTGCAAATGCTTTTAACGGAAAAACTTTTCCGTTAAAAGCATTTGCGGAAAATCATGCCAGTCTAGAAGTAGCCTTAGAGAGCATGTTTTGTGCCAGGTGATCGATCTTTTGTCAAGATTGTAAATGCTTCCAAGGGATGGTTTATCCCACATCGAAGTACCATTTGTACCTGCAAAATAATATGGATTATGCATGCTGTGTTTGTAATCAGCAAAAAGCCTCGAATCAAATGTTATTCAGCAGTAGATGTTAAAGCCTTCCAAGGACCTTTTTCTGCATTAAAAAAAACTATTGGTGGAGTCATGCCACAAAATCAGAGTGAGATTTTGAACATGGTGAGAGAGTTTAGGGATTGTGGATTTTATCCATCATTATTGTTCTGTTAAAATTCTTTGCTAGTAAAGACATTAATATAGAAAAGAGCATACTGAGAAAGCAATGGAGAGATGGGGACTCAGCTGTTGGAGTTTTACTTTTCCATCAGACTCTCTCTTCTTCTTCTTCTTAGTTTGTATAAAGTATCACCGATGAGTTCTAGTTTTGGATTGGCATCCAGCACTGTGCTAAGTGATGTACAAACAGGACAGAAACACTGCCTCTTCCTCAAAAAGTTTATAATCTTAGTGTAAGGCAAGAGGCAATTGATGGAGACAGAGATTTGGATGGGTAAACTACTGGCTAATCTCTGGATGATAATAATTTAGAACTGCCCCAGATTTCAAACTATTTATTCACTAAACACAGCCATGTCAAAGTATTGGATGACAATCTAAATGTGATCAAAGGCATGTCTACACAGCAGGGCTAAAGCCGAAATAAGCTATGCAACTTTGGCTATGACAATTGTGTAGCTCAAGTCAAAATTCAGTAAAACCTGTGTTATCTGGCACACCCAGGGATTAGGTCACTCTGGTTTTCTAAAAATTCTGGGGGAGCTGACCTGCCATGGAGAAGGCCAGGAGGCACGGGGGCGGAGCTGGACAGCCACGTTGTGGAGGTGTGCCAGTCCTCCAAGAGCTGCAGGGGAGCCGAGGTGTGGCCTGGCATCAGGCGGCCCTCCCCTAGGTACGTACTGCATGCATGTCTAGCAGGGGCTCGGGGGAGCATCTGAGGAGCAGCTCGGTTTACATCGCCAGTTTCTCTCTTTTTTTTTTTTTGCTTTTAACAAGTTTTTTCCTGACGTGGAAATTTGCAAGTTTCTAAAGTTTTCTGGCTAGTTAAGTCCCAGATAGCACAGGTTTTACTGTAGCTTATTTCGGCTTTTGGCACGGTCTACAGAGCAGGAAGGCCAAGGAAGAGCACTCTTCTTCTGACTTTCCTTACTCCTCCTAAAATGAGGATTACAGGAGTTGGAATAGGAGTCCTCCATCTGGACATTATTTCAACATTGTGTTGAAATAACTGTTGTAGTGTAGATGCAGACTATGGTGCTTTGAAGAACTTTGCAGGGAAAGTCAAACTCATATCTCTGGGCTCATTTGCCCCTAGCATAACAAATAATAGTTAGCAGTAAACACCCAGCACTTAGGCTGTGTCTACTGAGCCCATTCTCAGAACACCGTCAGAATTCTGAGTCTTGACTTGGCTTTGAAGAACTTTGCAGGGAAAGTCAAACTCATATCTCTGGGCTCATTTGCCCCTAGCATAACAAATAATAGTTAGCAGTAAACACCCAGCACTTAGGCTGTGTCTAGACTGGCAATTTTTTCCGCAATAGCAGCCACTTTTGCGCAAAAACTTGCCAGCTGTCTACATTGGCCGCTTGATTTTGCGCAAAAGCACTGACGTTCTACTGTCCAAAATCAGTGCTTCTTGCGCAAATTCTTTGACGTTCCCATTCGGGCAAAAGCCCTTTTCCGGAAATGGTTTTGCACAAGAGGGCCAGTGTAAACAGCTAAAAACTGTTTTGCGCAAAAAAGCCCCATTGGCGAAAATGGTGATCGGGGCTTTCTTGTGCAAAACCGTGTCTAGATTGGCACGGATGCTTTTCCACAAAAAGGGCTTTTGCAGAAAAGCGTCCGTGACAATCTAGACGCTCTTTCCTGCAAATGCTTTTAACGGAAAAACTTTTCCGTTAAAAGCATTTGCGGAAAATCATGCCAGTCTAGAAGTAGCCTTAGAGAGCATGTTTTGTGCCAGGTGATCGATCTTTTGTCAAGATTGTAAATGCTTCCCATTTTACAAATAGGGAGTCTGAGGCATAGAAAAGGGAAGAGACTTACCCAGGGTCACCCAGCAAAGTCATGGAAGAGCTGGAAATAGAAACCACACCTCCCAGCTGCAAGTCAATGCCCTAGCCACTGGATCCCACGCCCTTTCTCTTGGGCAAGCTGCTTTAGTCATTCTCATGCAGAAGCTGCTTACCGGGCATAATCTGGCTCCTGTCTGTTGTGAAGCTCCTGCTTGGGGACATCCTGCTCCTGATATCAGGGTGCTGGTCTAGCACCGTTACAATAGCTTGTCTGTTCTCCACAGGCCATTTCAGAGCTTCATCGTTCTCTCCGCTGCACAAGTGAAAAGCAATGCGGCAGTAGTTCGGATAGGAGGACGTGCCTCTAGGATACAAGGTTATTCCATAGCCATAACCCTCCGAGCTGTAAAACCGAGGACTGAATATCACAGAGCCTGAAACAGAGGTCTGGAGAAGGCGGGAGAAGTTCCGAATGAGCCAGACCGCGCTCGGGCACGGGGTCTCCGTGAGGGTGACATCATCAATAACAATTCCACCAGAAGAGCTGTTGTGATTGCCCCTTAGTCCTTGGAAGACGTACCGGAACTTCTCTTGAACATTGAGGGTCACATGGGCAATTTTCCAATTCTGGTCATTATCACCTATGGGAAGAAACCATAACCAGGGATTAATAATCAGGTACTTTGGGCCTGAGCTACATTCCAGAATTAGGTTGACACCAGGGGACTTACGTGGACCTAATTATGTCAGCGTCTACACTGGAAAGCTGCTTCCACTGAAATAAGTGGCCCACTACACCGACGTAATAAATCCTGCCTGGTTTCTTAGGGAGCCTCCCGGACTGAGGCTCAATCATCCAGAGTCACCTGATGCCAAACTGGGAGATCAGCCTCTAAAAGTCCAGCAGCGCAGCCGGTCTAAGGAAGATTCCCTACCTACCCTTGCCCTGCACTGCTCCCAGAAGCAGCTGACCCTGTGGCATCTAGGTGGAGGCAGGTCTCCGCATGCTGTCCCATTGGTGGGAACTGCAACCAGTGGGAGCTGTGGGGGTGGTACTATCTGGCAGGGGCAGTGCGCAGAGCCTTCTGCCCCCCTCCTCCCCACACCCTTACGGGATGCAAAGACATGCCAGTCCCTTCTGAAAGTGCCACAGGGCCAGGAGAGCTTTAGACTCAAGACACCACCGACCGAGCTTCAAAGCCACCTGAGGTAAGTACTGACTGACCAGATACTACACCCCCAGCTCCTCCTGCACCACAGCCCTCCTATCCCAGCCTGGACTTGCCCCCTCTCCAGAGCCCACACCCTGCACCTGCTCCTGCACCCCGAATCCCTACCTAAACTCCATCCCAGACTCTGTACTCCTCACTCCTTCCTGCAACACAAACCCCTGCCCAGCTCTGAACCCCCTGCCACACAGCCCCCACTTCCCCACACACCCCAACCCCATCTCCTGTCCCCTGCCCTATTCTGGTGAAAGTGAATGAGGGTGGGGGAGAGGGAATGTTGGAGGCAGGGGGAATGGAATGAGTAGAGGCAGAGCAAACCCACGTGCAAGTTGCCAGAAATAAAAGCTCATATTTGCATTAACAATGCCAAGGATCGTTGCTCCTGTTTGCATGAGCATGCCAATGTCAATCTTTTACAGGCTTGCTCAGTTCTTAGCAAGAGCATTAAAACGGTGACCTCTTTTGTTTGGGGCCATTCAAATTTCACCATCCAGGGCTTTGGTACAGCTGTCCATCTGGTAGGTGTGTTATTCTCACATACCAAAATGCCTGTCTGGATAGCAAGATGCTGACCTAATAGGGATGGGAAAACTCTTGTGTTTCTGAAGCTCTGAACACTAGGGTATCCTCTGCCCCATACTAGCGTTCCCTGTAAGCTGAGCACTTGGGTGGCCACCCAAGAGGGATTCAAATGTCCCCCAGCTGATTTGCAGAGTGCCCACAGCACTCACAACCAGCCGCGTGTGTTTCTATTGGTGGTGCACAGCTACACATACCTTGGTGCACATAACAAAATTGATTCTGCACACAGATGGAAAAAATTAGAGGGAACGCTGCCCCACACCGATTTCTGTAATCGCCTTCTTTTTTCAAAATACCTTGAAAGGTTTTGACTTTAACCAGCTTGTTAACAGCCCCAGTGCCGTTGTCCTTTCTAACCCAGATGACAAGCTTGTCTGAGGGGCTTCCAGAGATCTTGTAGAAGAAATGGAGGCACTGCTGAGTTCTCTTTGGGTAAAGGATGCGGGATTCTAGGAGAGCCGTATCTTCTGCCTTGCCAGATCCAGTATCGAAGTACATGAAAGAGCCAGCATCTACAGAGAAAGGGAGAAGCAGTTATTGCCTCTGCTTCATCTTTCTGCATGCTGCACATGACTTGTGGCTGCAAATATGTAAGTGCCGGGCAGATAAAGCATGACTAATGAATAATGCAAGAATAATTAGTGGTGCTTAAGCCTTACAATCCCACTCTCTTTTTAGGCATTATGTCTTATCCCCATGTCACCAATGAGGAAACTAAGGCACAGAAAGACTACACAAAAGAACCAGGAACAATGTTCCCTCTAATTTTTTTTCTTCCATGTGCGGAATAAATTTTGGTATGTGCACTGAAACAAGTATGGATGTGCACCACCAGCAGAAACACGTGCAGCCATCTGTGGGCACTGTGGGAACTCTGCTAATCAGCTGAGTGGCACCTGAGTCTCTTGTGGACAGCCGCTCAAATGCTCAGTTCACAGGGAACACTATCCAGAAACAGTATCCAGTGTTCCCTGTGGGATCTGCACTTGCACAGCTGTTCACAAAATAGTCCCGGTGGATTAACAGAGCTCCCACAGCTACATTTTGTTTTTACAGGTAGTGCACATTTGCACATGCTTTGGTGCACATAAAAATATTATTCTTCACATTAATGAAAAAGTCCACATATGGATGGAAAAAAATTAGAGGGAACATTGGTCTCCACAGGCTTGAATCCAGTCTCTCTAACCATTGGACTGGACTGTTACCCAGCCAAAGTCCCTTCAGTTACACCTGTGGAATACAAATAGGAATGTGACATTTGGGGATCCCCAAACCGGAAAGGGGCTCTTTCACTAGCTGCCTTGTGACTTTGGGTGCCTTAATGCCATGCATTAAGCTCAAAGCCCTAATGCCAGCAGCCAGCTTTCAAGCATAAAGGGCTTCCACTCAATTAATTACTTCTTGCAGGGTGATTCTAATAGCCTTTCTACTTCTGAACTTGATGGTTATCAGGAGTTCTGGACACAGGTTATAGTTTTGAGTGTAGGCATGGAGATGTGCAAGTTAAAAGTCTCAGACTACTCATTGCTTGGAGACATGTGCAGCACATTGTACTTGTAATTAGGCTGCAATAATTGCATCACCTCTCTGCAGTGGGGGAAGTGAAAGAGTCCTCAGGCAATAAGGGCACCTTCTGCACTAGCTGTTTATATGAAACAAAGTCCAGACACCTGGCATTATGCAATCCAGGGAAAGATAAGGGTGGACTAAGGCAGGAAGGAGTTTCTGATGCCCCTCCCCTCGCCCCCCATCTGTGTAACCATGAATTCCCATAGTCGGAAAGAATAAAGACCTGCAAGCCCACGTTTAAAAGGGAAGAGATGTTTAAAGTGCAGCCTAGCCAGAAACTGAGGATCAGCCTCTAAGCAGGGTTGTACTATGCCAGGTGCCTGGATTTAGTTTCACAACTAGTCTGGGAGGTGCCCTTCCTGCCTTTTTATCTCCCCCCCCCCCCCCCCCCCCCCCCAACACACACACTGCTTGGAGGTGATGCAGCAGATGTATCCTAGTTACAATTATAATGTTTTGTACACATCTCCCTGCATCCACTATAACCTGTACACAGATCTCCTAGGCTATGTCTAGACTGCAGGCTTCTTTCGAAAGAGGCTCTTTCGAAAGCATCTTTCGAAAGAGCCTCTTTCGAAAGAGAGCGTCTAGACTGCACGGAGAAATTTCGAAAAAGCGGCTTGCTTTTTCGAAAGAAAGCATCCAGTGAGTCTGGATGCTCTCTTTCGAAGACGCCCTATTTACATTGAAGAACGCTTTCTTTCGAAAGAGGAACTTTCGAAAGAAGGCGTTCTTCCTCGTAAATTGAGGTTTACCGCCATCGAAAGAAAAGCCGCGTTCTTTCGAATTAATTTCGAAAGAACGCGGCTTGAGTCTGGACGCAGGGGAAGTTTTTTCGGGAAAAGGCTACTTTTCCCGAAAAAACCCCTGAGTCTGGACACAGCCCTAATGACCATCAAGTTCAGGACATTACATGCTTTCATAGAACACCATACTTATTCTACATTTCTCCCCAGTGACATTGCGAACAACCAGTTGATTCAATTGCTTATCCCAAGAGGGTTCAGACCCTCTGCTCTCTCCAGGGATGTCTGGTTTCTGATTGTCACTGGAGGGGAAAGGATTCAAAGAAAGGCTTGGTGAGCCTACAGGATGCTATATCGGTGGCCCACAAATTGATCCAAATGTCATTTCCCAGTTCTACTTAAACTTGTAGCTGACCCCATGTAACCAATCCTGCATCTCCATATCTTCTTTCCTTTAGTGGCTGGTCCACATAGGGGATTAGAATCTACACTGCTGCCAGCAAATGGAATTGCTCCTTTAGCTCAAGTGATGGGAGCTCATGCTTAGGGTCTTTATACTTGTGCTTCTTATTTAGGCAAAATTCCCACCAAAGTCTTATTTTTCTGAAGTCTGTGGGAGTTTTGCCGAAGTAGTGGACAATTAGGCCCTTAGCATCAAACAAGCCTTTAGGAATTTTTCGTTACTATATAAGCAAATACTTTCTGAACACCGATGCTACTGGGTTCTGTGACTGGCTCATAATAGAGACTGATCTTTTCTTTCTTTCTTTTGTGATTCCATTAGTTTAAAAAAACCCAGAAAACTGGGGGGTTTAGAGTAAAATTGCCAGAATTGAACCTGGGGTCTCTACCGCATGAGCTAAAAGCCAGCTGGCTCCCAGCTAAGGCTACAGAGCAGACTCATTATCTCTCTGTATGTGGTCTTAGTGCCAGTAGGGGGGGGCAGTGCACCAACTCCAGAAGGCTCGTGGGTTACAGAAGCACCTTAAAAATCACTGTTTGATTCTTTAGAAATTTTGATCTGACAATTCCAGCCCCAACATGCCTCACACTTCGTTTATGTTTAAGATGTAACAGTTATCAGCGAGTTACATGCAATTCTTGCTGTGCTAAAATCATTGTTAAGCAACCTGAGCCAGGTACTGTAGGTCACATTACAGCATATATTCATTATTCCTCTAGTTAAACCCTAATACATGTTCTTTGCCCTCTTTTATATTGTTGCTCTATCTGGAGAATGCCATGTACATTGCAAAAAGGTTGCTGATTTAGCACTGGTGATATCCCCACCTTTGTACCTCACTATCAAGAGAAAGCACAGTGACAAGGAGCCGAGGAAAGAGAACTGGGGGTTAGCTTGGTTAGAATGACAACAGACAAGCTTTCTTTAAAAGTATCCTCAACGACAGTCATTCTTTTCCTGACTTGGTCGCTTTTTTCAGTTTGATCAGCTGCCAAGATTTTCCAGGTGTTGGCAGCAATGTTAGCATCTGTCCAAAGGTGTCTTTAACCCACAGCTATCACCATTGCTAAGGCATGAAGGAAGTGACATTTGAAGCCCCTAACTTTTACTCAGGTATGTTTTTTATTTTACCTTTGCAGCGTCCAACGAGTGTGTGGTCTTCTTGTCCTGCGAGGCTGCTCTTCTTATGGACCCAGTCGGCATCATCTCCGGGTCCTTGAACCATGCCGCAGATGTTAGGGAACTCAAAAGCACACTGGTCCAAAAGGGTGTGAGTTGAAGCTGAAAGAACATGCATATGATGAAATCCAAAGAAGCAAATCAAATGCCTTCTGTATGCTTTTCCTGATGGACATGTTTCTGTGTCACACACCCCATATGGGACATATACAAAGGGCTCAGTCCTGCAATCCTTCCCTCCCTGACTGGTCAAAATGATTCCTTAGGGCACTATTACACAACGTGTTGGTGCCTGAAGGTAGCAAATAAAATCATCTACCTCTGACTGATGCATAATCTAACTATTGCTTGATTTCTTGGAACTGTCACAACCGAGGTGACCCTCAAGCAAAGGTCATAAGGAGCACAAGGTTGGAAGGGGAACCCTGAATAAAGCACAACGTAGGAGGAAGCACAGAAATGGATGAGTGTAAGTCTTTAATTCCATAGGCAGTACTTGGGCGGTGCACCACCTCCCTATAACCCTGCCAAAAACTTAATTGCTATATGGGCTGCCCCACATGTCCCTCACCTCTTTGGGTAGCATGAGTCACCCCTATTTATTCACTTATCGGACCACGTCAAAAGCAGAAAACAATTGGGAGAGGGGCAGAGAAATAATGGGCTCCTCTCATTACTCATTGCCATGAGCCCTGCCGTAAGGTCAGCTAAGGACAAGTTTCCTGGAGTCCCTCCCTCTTTGGCTCACTCGTCTTTTTATTTATTTCCTTAGACATGAAAATGCAAGGGGAACAAAGAAATCATATGAAAGTCCAAAATATGGGCCAGCGTGGGCTTACTGCAGTTGTACATGCGATTGAGTCTTTCTAAGTCCATGCTGCTGAAATCCAAGCGCTGGCCAATAATGTCATTAAACGCTGGAATCTTTGCAGTGATTGTTGGGATACTCTGATTTTTGTTAAATGAGAATGGCTCATAATGCATTACTGATTCATAGTCATAAGGGGTGTTCAGGTCGGAGATTAACTTGTCGTCATATTTCACAAAGTTGTGCGTGTGGCCTGGTGAAAGAACAAAGAAACGAGTCATTCTTCAAACGGCCAGAATCTTTCAGAAGGCAAAAATGTCCCTAGCATGGACATACTAAAGTCATAATAAATCAATGCAAAATGCAGTCAACAAGGCAGATTCAAAACCAAGTACAGTATGGTTAGTATTACACTCTGACCTGATCAGTTTCTGAGACAATTTTGAAAACAAAATCCTCTTATTCTAGATCCCAATTGTCACTTCATGTGTACATTGCTTGTGCGCATTTAAAGAACTTCCACATGCTGCTTCTGAGCTCTATCATGGGTGAAGGCATCTAGTTTGTCTTATTTGCTTCCCTTCTCTGCCTCCTTTATGCCTCCTACTCTCCCACACCAATCCAGCAAAATATGTATGTAACAGCTCAATTTACCATATATTGACCACAATGCAACCACGCATACACTTAAAAGCTAAACCTAAACTTAAGTGCTTTGCAAGAATTGGATGTCAGAGTGCTCAGTGTCTCATAGGGCAATGCCCTAAAGAATGAGGAGCCTTTAATTGCTGATGCAAATGTTTGCCTGGGTATTTGGTTCACTCTAAAACATGCATCCCTGTTCTGTACAGACTGTGCTCTAGCCTTGACTGGCCTTTGGGACAAAAGACATCTTCCATTTAGGCTACATCTAGACTACAAAGGTAAGTCAGAAAAAGATAAACAAATTGAGAACTGCAGTTTGCGTATCTTTTTCCACTTTTCTGTCGAAAGAGACTTTTCCCAAAATTTGGTGTGTCTACATGGCACCAAATTTTGGAAAAACCTGCTCTTTCAACACATCCCTTCTTCCTCATAAAATGAGATTTACAGAGCTGGCGAACGTGCGCGTCTGCTTTTTCACAAATTTTTCCAAAAAAGCGGACGTGGTCTTTGGACGCGGCATTGCTTTTCACTGCATTCTAGAGGCAGCCTTAGAGCTGAATGAAAATGCAGAGTTTTGTGATGCTAGATGTTATAACATCTGTCGTAGTTCCAACCATTTTCTCATATCTAGGTCACTAAGACGGTAATTTGGTTGCACAAGCATAAAAGATGGTAACATTTCCATTGTTCTCCTGAAAACAATGTTGCCATTAAAAAAAAGGAAAGACCTTGTTTTCAATGAAAACAACCTCTATTTAGCATGAATAATTTACAAAAGGGGACCAATTTCAAGGTTGCAGGTTTTGAGGAAAAGCGAGAGAAAAAATTAACATTTCAAATCACACTGAAACTGTTTTGGCTGCTTCTCGCCGCTATTAAAATTCTCATTACCCTCAATTCAAAATAGCATTGAATGAACAATTATTGCTAAATAGCCTCACTTCTATGGTTTCCGAGTATAGCTTATTGGGAGATATAACCACCTGCTCAACAGAACAGTCTGGGGGTCAGAGCTGAGGACTATCTGAACGTTTATGTTTATTTCCTTTTAGAGACCTGCACTGAAACTTACCTGGAAAAACTATAAGAAAGGATGTCATGCCTGCTGGTGTAGCACTCTAGCTTTTTACAACTCGGAGGAAAGGAAGTCCCTGCAGAAGATCAGCTATCTGAGAACATGACCAGGTTTTTTAGCAGCTTCTCAGTAAATGAATGACTTTTAGATGAAGATCTGTTTGGGGAGCAAGCTGCTAATAAAAGAAGCAGCTGGCTGGTTTCACAAAAAACTTAGCTGGAACTTTTTGCCACTAAGTCGCAGCCAGAGGAGTATCCAGTTTTTATGCAGATGCAAGATATGGAGGAGGGCCTATAGAACTTTCCTATTATATCTCCCGTGCAGTGCCCAGCTACAGACGCAGTCGCTGAAGTCACTAGGAAACTTTAAGAAGAGTTTTCCCTCAGTAAAGTCTGCAGGATTTGTCCCAGAGGAAAGTAGAATCTATAGCTTGTAATGACACCTGCAAAACATTGAGCCTGCAGTAAAATTTTGCACTTCCTGTAATTTTTCCTTTTTCTGCATTATGCAGGAGAACTTTATAATGGTTTCCGGTCAATTACCATTTCATTGAAGGAGACATATTTGGGTTGAGAGGCAGTAGAGAGGGGGGTTATGGATCACATGAAATGAATAAAGAAAAGTGATAACTGAGTATCTCAAGTGATCAAGAAGGCAGACGTGTTTAATGTCTATGTTACTTCAGTCTTCCATAAAAAGGAGAATAGTGGTGGGATACTTAGCACAATATGAATAAGAGGGAAGGGATGGAAGCCAAATT